AAATAAATATATGCAATTTGGTAACCCCAGAATGGATATATGATCAGAAAGAAGACATCAGTGGAAAAGGTGATGACATCCAAATAGAATCTAGAGTTCAGTTAATACCAGCCTCAGTTTCTTAGTTTTAACAAATGTGCTTAAATGATATAAGATGCTAACAATGATGAAACTGTGTACAGCTTATAAAGAAATCTCTATTATCTTTGTGACTTTCCATAAATCTAAAATTGTTCAAAAATAAAAGTTTATTAAAAGAAAATTATATCCACCCTTTAACTATTCATGGCACAAATGTTTAACCTTATTCTAATCATGAAGGGAAAAGGCAAACCTAGAAAGTAGATATTCCACAAGAAAACTGGACTAATGAACCTAGATGCAAAAATCCTCAATAAAATTCTGGCGAATCGGATACAAAAACATATCAAAAAAATTGTGCACCATGATCAAGTAGGATTCATCCCTGGGATGCAAGGCTGGTTCAATATACGGAAATCAATAAATGTTATTCACCACATCAATAGACTTAAAAATAAGAACCATATGATCATCTCGATAGATGTGGAAAAAGCATTCGACAAAGTACAGCATCCTTTTATGTTCAAAACTCTAGAAAAACTAGGGATAACAGGAACATACCTCAATATTGTAAAAGCAATTTATGCTAAGCCTCAGGCTAGCATCATTCTGAATGGAGAAAAATTGAAGGCATTCCCTCTAAAATCTGGAACAAGACAGGGATGCCCTCTCTCTACACTTCTGTTCAACATAGTTCTCGAAACACTGGCCAGAGCAATTAGACAGATGAAAGAAATTAAAGGCATAAAAATAGGAAAAGAAGAACTTAAATTATCACTATTTGCAGATGACATGATTCTATACCTAGCAGACCCAAAAGGGTCTACAAAGAAACTATTAGAGCTAATAAATGAATTCAGCAAAGTGGCAGGATATAAGATCAACAAGCATAAATCAAAGGCATTCCTGTATATCAGCGACAAATCCTCTGAAATGGAAATGAGGACAACCACTCCATTCACAATATCTTCAAAAAAAAATAAAATACTTGGGAATCAACCTAACAAAAGAGGTGAAAGACTTATACAATGAAAACTACAGAACCCTAAAGAGAGAAATAGAAGAAGATCTTAGAAGATGGAAAAATATACCCTGTTCATGGATAGGCAGAACTAACATCATCAAAATGGCGATATTACCAAAAGTTCTCTATAGGTTTAATGCAATGCCAATCAAAATCCCAACGGCATTTCTTGTAGAAATAGAGAAAGCAATCATGAAATTCATATGGAAAAATAAAAGACCCAGAATAGCAAAAACAATGCTAAGCAGGAAGTGTGAATCAGGTGGTATAGCGATACCAGACTTCAAACTATACTACAGAGCAATAGTAACAAAAACAGCATGGTACTGGTACCAAAACAGGCGGGTGGACCAATGGTACAGAATAGAGGACACAGAAACCAATCCACAAAACTACAACTATCTTATATTTGATAAAGGGGCTAAAAGCATGCAATGGAGGAAGGATAGCATCTTCAACAAATGGTGCTGGGAAAACTGGAAATCCATATGCAACAAAATGAAACTGAATCCCTTTCTCTCGCCATGCACAAAAGTGAATTCAAAATGGATCAAGGAGCTTGATATCAAATCAGAGACGCGCCGTCTGATAGAAGAAAAAGTTGGCTACGATCTACAGTCGGTGGGGTCGGGCTCCAAATTCCTCAATAGGACACCCATAGCACAAAAGTTAATAACTAGAATCAACCAATGGGACTTACTCAAACTAAAAAGTTTTTTCTCAGCAAAAGAAACAATAAGGAGCCTACACCCTGGGAACAAATCTTTACTCCTCACACTTCAGATAGAGCCCTAATATCCAGAGTATACAAAGAACTCAAAAAATTAGACAATAAGAGAACAAACAACCCAATCAACAAATGGGCCAAGGACCTGAACAGACACTTCTCAGAGGAGGACATACAGTCAATCAACAAGTACATGAAAAAATGCTCACCATCTCTAGCTGTCAGAGAAATGCAAATCAAAACCACCCTAAGATACCATCTCACTCCAGTAAGATTGGCAGCCATTAGGAAGTCAAACAACAACAAGTGCTGGCGAGGATGTGGGGAAAAGGGTACACTTGTACATTGCTGGTGGGACTGCAAATTGGTGCAGCCAGTTTGGAAAGCAGTATGGAGATTTCTTGGAAAGCTGGGAATGGAGCCACCATTTGACCCAGCTATTCCCCTTCTCGGTCTATTCCCTAAAGACCTAAAAAGAGCATGCTACAGGGACACTGCTACATCGATGTTCATAGCAGCACAATTCACAATAGCAAGACTGTGGAACCAACCTAGATGCCCTTCAATAGACGAATGGATAAAAAAAATGTGGCAATGTGGCATTTATACACAATGGAGTATTACTCTGCATTAAAAAATGACAAAATCATAGAATTTGCAGGGAAATGGATGGCATTAGAGCAGATTATGCTAAGTGAAGCTAGCCAATCCCTAAAAAACAAATGCCAAATGTCTTCTTTGATATAAGGAGAGTAACTAAGAACAGAGTAGGGACGAAGAGCAGGAGAAGAAGATTAACATTAAACAGGGATGAGAGGTGGGAGGGAAAGGGAGAGAGAAGGGGAAATTGCATGGAAATGGAAGGAGACCCTCAGGGTTATACAAAAGTACATACAAGAGGAAGTGAGGGGAAAGGGAAAAATAATTACAAGGGGGAGAAATGAATGACAGTAGAGAGGGTAGAGAGAGAAGAGGGGAGGGGAGGGGAGGGGAGGGGGGATAGTAGAGGATAGGAAAGGCAGCAGAACACAACAGACACTAGTATGGCAATATGTAAATCAATGGATGTGTAACTGATGTAATTCTGCAATCTGTATATGGGGCAAAAATGGGAGTTCATAACCCACTTGAATCAAAGTGTGAAATATGATATATCAAGAAATTTGTAATGTTTTGAACAACCAACAATAAAAAATTAAAAAAAAAAAAACTGGACTAACCACATTAAAAGAAGTCAAAATCACAGGGAAAAAAATGGTAGTATGATACAAAACCTAACACCCAAATGCAATGTATGAACATAGATTGGATCCTAAGCATTTTTTTTTTTTTTTGTACTGGGAATTGAACCCAGGGGCAATGAACCACTGAGCAACATCCCCATCCCTTTTTTGTATTTTATTAGAGACAGGATCTTTCTGAGTTGCTTAGTGCCTCACTAAATTGCTGAGTCTAGCTTTGAACTTATAATCCTCCTGCCTCAGCCTCTCAAGCTTCTGGGATTAGAGGTGTACACCACTGTGCCTGGCCCTAAACAATTTTTTAATATATTTATTTTATATTTACGTGGTGCTGAGGACTGAACCAAGTGCCTCACACATGTTAGGCAAGTGCTGTACCTCTGAGCCACAACTCCAGCCCCCTAAACAAATTTTATAAGTGGCATTTCGAAAATTTAAATATGGATTCTATAGTAGGTAAGACTTAATTACTATCATAACACTATTGTGGTTATGTAGAAGAATGCCTTTATTCTTAAGAGATGGACATAATGAAGAGGTAAAACTCAATGATAACTACTACTTACTATCAAGTGGGCCAAGAAGAAAGTTGCATATACAGAAAGAAAAGTAAGGCAAACTATTAATAACCAAAGTTAAGTCTATGTGAAGGATAATTAATTATGTATATTTTTAAATATTCTCACTTGGCTTAATAATTTTCAAAATAAAAAGCTGAAGAAGGAAAAAGCCAATCAGGATATAAGAAGATGCTTTCTAACTTTTCACATAGAAATGATTTTAAACGTAATGATAGTATGTTTATATCCAATTACATTTGATGCAGTTAAAGAAGTAGAAAAATAACTTATAAAGTAAATGTAAATATATCTAAGGAAAGAAGAAAAGTGAAAACAGAAACTCAAAGCTCCGATGGTTTTCTGGCATATTTCCTCAAACATTACAAAAGGAGAAAAAGTTAAGAACAAGTAAGTCCAACTCAAAATTGTAACAATTACCATAATAACAAAAAAAATTTTTTTAAAGTTTTAACTCCTGAGTATAGTGACATGGTTGTTTAACATCTATAACCCATTAAGCTACACATTTGTTTTCTGTCTTCATTTGATATTTAAAAAAAAAAATGGCTTAAAATGAAAATGAAAAACTAATTATATTATTGGTTCTAAGCATTCTTATCACTAATAATTCAAAATCAACAATTCCTCATCTGATCTGATTCTCCTAACAGTGTGACTTTATTTCTTGTCACTCTCAGGATCTCTATTTTGGTCTATCTGATGCTGCTTTAATTCACATAGCTCTCCCTCTTACCCTCTATCTACTTTTCCTGATTTGCCCCAGAAAACCCCTGAGGCTTCTGAACTCTTCCTTCAGCTTGGAATATTCTTCTCTAGATAATATCTCTTCTCAAATACCACCACCTAAGAGGAATCATCCCCAGTCAGTCACCTTATCTAAATGGCCCCACCTCTGCTCTCCTTCCAACAAATGGTTAGGAAAAAGAGAGAGAGAGAGAGAGACATATGAAAAGGATGTGGTTGTCCGTTTATTTCCATATCTATTCACTCTAATGCAATGTCAATTTCTGGGAAGCAAGGGCCTTGTAAGTTTTATTTACTATCATTGCATTGATACATGTGTTTGTGTGTATGCAAAAGGGGAACTGAAAAGTAGACTCCAAAATATAGTTAAAATACTGAACCCAGGAAAAGAGCCCCATCATTGAAAATGGGTTTGAAAGATAAGAAAAATATGGTGATTGATAAATGGGGAAAAGCTGAAGTTCCTTCCCTGGCTCACACCAAGATCTTTATTTCCTCTCAGGACACAGACCTATGTTCCATGAGTCTACAACACAACCAGGTTGTAGACTCCCTAACCAAACAGGTTGTTACCAGCCCTGACTGTTCCCCATTTCCCATACCTGTGTATTGTCTTTGTGTTTCTTCCTTTAGAAACATCCAGGGCTCTTTTCCTTGCTCCAATAAGTCAACCACATCTGGCTTAGAAGTAGAATGCCCTGCTTACAAGAAAAGAAACGTCACATGGATTAAAAATAAAAACAAAGTCACAGAAACCCTGGAGCTTTAGTTAAATTTGCAATGAACTAAAGATTAAATGTTAGTGATAAAGACTTCAGATAAAAGAGGGGTGCAATGATTTAAGAAATGAAGCAGGTATGGTGAAACCTTATTTTAATTTAAACTCACACAGGCTCTGTCTCTTTTGTCTTCAGGGTCCTGTTGTTTTTTTCCTGGCTGGCCTTGAGCTCATGGGCTCAGAAAATCCTCTTGCCTTAGCCTCCCAAATAACGGAATATAGGTGGCATGCACCACTGTGCCCAGCCAGGAGTTGTCTGTCTTTCTCTCTTTCTCTCCTTCCCTCTCCATCTCTCTCTCTCATGTTCTCTCTGTTTCTTTTTCATCTCTCCGCCCCCCCCCCCTCTCCTTTTTTATTTTTTTGGTACTGGGGATTGAATCCAGTGGCACTTTACCACTGAGCTACATCCAGACCTTTTCTTTTTTTATTTTGAGATAGGGCCTCACTAGGTTGCTGAGGCTAGCCTCAATCTTGCAATCCCCCTGCCTCAACCTCCCAAGCTGCTGCAGTTACAGGTTTGTGCCCAGCCAGTTTTTCTCTCTTATGAGAAAGTTCAACAATGCAAAAGTCTCTGGAGTCAGAGGTCTGGGGCACAAATTCTTCCTCTTAAACTTATCAATCTTATGATTTGGCCAGGTTGTTTCAACTCACTATTCCCCAATGTTGGCAAGAAATTGGGTATAATACTACTACTACAATGTAGCTGTTTTATGATTGAATCATTTTATTCATTTTTTTCCAGAAAAGTGCTTGGTACATAATAAACACTAATTTTAAATATTTCATTTCTGTAAGAGGAAAACAAGAAACATCCAGATTGACTTACAAAATCTTCATTCAATAATTAAATGCAAAGTTCATGGACTGAAACTTTCAACAATAAATCATAAAAATTGGTTACAGGAAATGAAATGTGGACTTTAGTTTTTTGTGAGTTAATTTTGAGAGGGTCAGGAGACAAGGTCTCACTAAATTGCTTAGGGACTTGTCAATTGCTGAGGCAGGCCTTGAAATTGCAGTCCTCCTGCCTCAGCCTCCCAAGTCACTGGGATTACAGGTATGCAACACCCATACCTGGCCATGATTCTTCAGTTTTAACGAATACTATTCATCTTATCCACTACTGTATAAGTTAGAGGTTCTTTTCATATAAAGAAAAAATCAGGAAATCTTCATCTAAATATTGTCCTTGCAGATGGACCAGAGGATGAAAGAGCACATCTATAGAAATTTTTGGAATAAACGTGGAAATCATGGTTATTAATTAAATAAATATGCAGAATTTTATCCTGGCCCCTTGTATATTAAAGAAAGTAGGCTATTATAAATGTCATAGGAAGATGTGAATGTCATTGAAGGTTGGAGAAAATGATGGTCCTTAATTGCAGTGTCATTGTCATTCTGGCAGAACTTAGGGAGATTTGAAAATCATTGTGTTAACATATCATAGTTCACATTTTAAATTACTTCAAGCAAATAAACTTACCTAGAAAGACCAGGTTCCTATAGTTCTCCAACATCACATCCCTGTACAAGTCCCTCTGAAGAGGGTCCAGGTATTCCCACTCCTGCTGAGAGAAGTCTATGGCCACATCCCCGAATGTTACTAATTCCTGAAACTACAAACCCATGTATTATGAAACTTAAAAAACATTTTCATATAGCAGAAGAGAAGAGCACCTTATAGGAAAGCTGTGATATAGTCAAGAGGCTAATAACTGGTAGCAGACTAAAGCAGAGTATCTACACATTCTTGAAGAATTCTATTGCTGCAGGCAAATCTTTCTTTGTATTAGGAGTAACCACAACAATTTAGGTTTGCTGAGCAGTGGATGAAATAAAATTCAAGTTCCTGTATTCAATAAAGTATTAGACATAATCACAATTTGCTAGAGGCCTAATGCATAAATTAACAATAAATGTAAATTTCTAAATTATTTTACCTTTAACAGTAAAATAAAAAGAACCAAAAATGTATGTCCTTCTCAAATTTAATATAAAAATCTCTATATTCAAAAAAGGTTTTACAGAAAAGCTTAGATATTTCCCCAAGTCTCAAGTTTATCATTATGTCAGAGCACATAATGGCAATTTTCTTTGTTTTGATAAATTTTGGGTTTACTGTGTAACAATCCATTTTATTATGGATATCTCAGAATTAATTCATCCTTTATGTTTATCTACTTGATTGGAAAAAAATTTCAAAGTCCTTTTAGAAATCAGGAGAGGAAATCCACATGTTTACTCCATAGGAAAATGTTCTCCCCCATTGCCATCCTCCATCTCTCACTCAACACTTCCCTGTCCGAGTATACAATGATATAGGATGACTCATGATCAAATAAATGTCACCCAAATTCAACAGAATACATTCAACCACAAAATACATATATTTGTCAATCAGTAATTCCTTAACAAAAGTCGTGACATGTCCAACCTTTCTAAAAACCTCAAAGGACTTGAAATCTCATCACATAATAAGACTGTGACCAAGTGATAACCAAATTTCCTCTTATTTGCCTTTAAAATAAGAATACATACGTGCATTATTTCAAAGTCTACCTGTTATACTCAAATAGGGCCAATATTCACCAAACTAGGGACGTACAAGGGAATCTTATATTTACCTGCTGGGACTTAACTCTTTTACTGTTCTATCAACATTTGATTGAAGAATAAGCACAAAAAAATAAGTAAATTGGACAACTGATACACAAACTGGATAGCAAATACTTGTAGGGAGGAATCTGAGTTATTTGCTTTCATAATTCATTGCATTAGGAGAAACTGGAGAGCAGATAAATGAACTAGGAAGGTCTTCTTAAGTAGGAAGATTTAGGTTAATGAAAAGAATCCATCTTACCTAAAATAATATTGCAAGAAAACATAAACAAACAACTTACACAGGTCATGTTTTAAAAATGAAAGACCTGATCAGTTTTCCTCAGGGTTCCACTACTAGAAGAATTCAAACTCCAGAGCATCCAGAGCTGAAAGAAAAAAGAAATTTTTAGTGTTACATTATGACATAGTTCAGAAAGATCTTTCTGCTCTTCCATTGCTCCTTCCAAAATTAGTTATCCTACGGCTGTACATATAATTTAGGAAAAACCAAAAAGATGGATCTAAGCTGTGCCCTAAACCTCAGGAAACCCACAAGATGGTTGCAAAGTAAGTCACCTCTACACTGAAACCAGATCCAGACATGATAGCAGGAGGTTTCTTGGACAAGTCCCCATCTTGGGGGTTGATCTAGACCCCAGTCTTTCTATGAATAGATCCTCTAAGGCTGAAAGAGGCCACATCACCCAAACTAACACCTCTTATGGCATCAGAATCAGCTGGAGTTGATCACATATGGAAGACAACACAACCCAGAAGAAATTGCTTGGGCTGGTTCTGTATAGAGTCCAACCCAGCTGTGTAGTTAATTATGGAACCTACGTGTAATAATATAAAATAGTCATTTAATGCAAGTAGGGAAATATATGTAAGAATATGAAAAATATTTCAAATATACTGTCAACAAAAATTGACATTAAAAAGTAGAATGCACAATATGATTTGATAGACAGATAGACAGGGAGTGTAGTTCAGTGATGGAGCACTTGCCTAGCATACAAGAGACCCTGAGTTTGAATCCCAACAATGAGGAAAAGGAAGAGGAAAAAAAAAAGTAATTTGGGGGGCTGGGATTGTGGGTCAGTGGTAGAGCACTTGCCTAGCATGTGTGAGGCACTGGATTTGATTCTCAGCACCACATATAAATAAATAAAATAAATGTCCATTGACAATTAGAAAAACATTTTTAAAAAGTAATTTGTTCTGTCTTGTTACAGAATTCTATGCTACCATTACTTTTTTATTTGTAATCTTGATTTTTTTGTTTTAAAGTATATTTCATAATTATAATATTGTCACACTCTAATTGAAAGCATACATGTGTAGGTACATTCACATGCACACAGATGTGTGCATATGCACAAATGTACATGCGAAAAAGCGTGTTTCAGTGGCTGGAGTTGTGGCTCAGTGGTAGAGGACTCACCTAGCACGTGTGAGGCCCTGGGTTCAAACCTCAGCACCACATAAAAATAAATAAATAAAATAAAGGTATTATGTTCAACACAACTAAAAAAAAAAGTTGAAAAATTTTTAAAAAGCATGTTTCTATGGAATATTATTCCGCATTAAAAAAGAATAAACTCATGGCATTTGCAGCTAAAGGGATGGAGTTAGAGAATATAATTCTAAGCGAAGTTAGCCAATCCCAAAAAAACAAATGCCAAATGTTTTCTCTGATATAAGGAGGCTGATTCATAATGGGGTTGGGGGCAGGGAGCATGGGAGGATTAGATGAACTCTAGAGAGGGCAAAGGGGTGGGAGGGAAAGGGAGGGGGCATGGGGGTAGAAAAGATGGTGGAATGAGATGGATATCATTACTCTAAGTACATATATGAAGACACAAATGGTGTGACTCTACTCTGTATACAACCAGAAACAGAATACATTCAATATGAATTGTAATGCATTCTGTCATATATAACAAATTAGAATTAAAAAAGTGTGTTTATTTTGCTAGTTAACCATGATGTCTTCCAGACAACTGCTAAAACCAGCTTATCCCATTAGCCCCTCTTTGTATCTAACATTGCTTAAAATAAATAAATAAAAGCTAAGAGCTTATATAATAAATTCCACTTACCTCCATAGAAATTCCATGGGCTCAGTCCTACTTGTTCATAGCTTACAATGATGACCAGAATTCAACCAATACCACCTTTCCATGAATTCTTAAAGTATGGCACCTGAATACTGCATTATACTTACTCCTATTCATAGTTTATGTCCTTTGTTGGATTGTCAGCTTTTAAAAGTAGTAGTATTTTTAGTCACTGAATCACCCCAATTACAAATACTATAAGATTACAAATATTGCAGGTGCATAAGATGTCTGATTTGTGACACTACATTTCATTTGTAGGAATTTACCATAAGGAAATAAAAATACAGAGATACATAAATTGTACGCACAATAATATGTTTAGAAAAATTTCATTTCTATGAATGTATGAGTGTACTAGGATTGAACGCATATATATTTATTCATATATATACTTATATACACTGAGCTATATTCACAGTCCTTTTTATCTTTTATTATAAGACAGGGTCTTCCTATGTTGCTGAGGGTCTTGCTAAGTTGCTGAGGCTGGCCTAAAATTGTGATCCTCCTGTCTCAGCCTCCCAAATTACTGAGGTTATAAGTGTGCACCACACCACCAAACTTAGGAAGTTTTTAATAAAAAACTGGAAACATGGGCTAGGGTTGTGGCTCAGTGGTAAAGCACTTGCCTGGCATGTGTGAGGCACTGGGTTCGATTCACAGCACCAGACAGATAGATAGATAGATAGATAGATAAAACAACTGGAAACATGTCTAATGCCAAGTAATGTATTCTTCAACAATTTGTAGTATATACTGGCATACTATGCTATTATCAAAAATTATATTGGTCTACACCAACAAATGAAGAAAAGACATTTCTGATGAATTACTAAGTGAGGTAAGCATGTCTTAAAAATTAGTAATATTCAAGAGGTGGTTTCTTGGGCTGAGGTTGTAGCTCAATGGTGAAGCACTTATCTAGCATGTGTGAGGCACTGGGTTTGACTCTCAGCACCATATATAAATAAGTAAAATAAAGGTCCATTGACAACTAAAAATAGCCACTGTGAAGGAGGACTTATCTCAGTATCCTCTGTCAGTATCTGCAGAAGGAAGGCTTAAGGTTGTTTCTTCAGGCAAAGAAAATCAAACATATTCATATCCAAACAGAAATTTGGAGAACAAAAAGAAAACGAATCCACCTGAATCTTTTTATATAGTTTTTAATTGTTGATGGACCTTTTTAAAAAAAATTTTTAGTTGTAGATGGACATAATAACTTTATTTTATTAATTTATTTTTAAGTGGTGCTGAAAATCAAAACCAGTGCCTCACACATCCTAGGCAAGTGCTGTACCACTGAGTCACATCCCCAGCCCCATGGACTTTTATTTTATTCATTTATTCATATGCGGTGCTGAGAATCCAACCCAGTGCCTCACACATGCTAGGCAAATGTTCTATTGCTAGGCCACAAACCAGCCCCACCTGAATCTTGATTTTTAGGCATCAACAATATTGCTTTACCTTTAGTATTTTAGTAATGTAACAATTCTTTCCTCCTTTTGGGGTTCCCTTTTGGAGGAGGCAAGGTCAGAGGAAAAGTAAGTCATGATCTCACATACAGAACGAGGAGAAATATTAGGGTGAAAAAATCTGTATGTGAGTCCACAGGAGGTACCTGGGGTCAGAGCTGTGGGAATGGTGCGATTACACGATGTATGTCACCGAAAGGGTCCAAGGGAAAGGTTTCCAACAGGATGCTTAATCCAAGGAGCCTGGTTTTAGAGGTAACTCGCAGCTTTAAAAATTCCTATTCCAAGATGATATGTGTGCTTTCCTGTGCCCATGCTAGTGCTCAAAAGTGTGACTTCTCTCTTGGTGCCGTTTCTCTGCTTAAGCCATAAATGACTGTAAATTGAGAGGTCGGAGGACTGGGTAAGTAACCAACTCAGTGACAACTAAGCCCAACAACCCACACTCATGTATGGTAAGGCCAGCCTTCCTAGTCATAAAAGCGCTGACAGAACCACAACCGCATCCAAGGTCCTGGAGCCCCGTCCTGGGCTATTCTGCACTCAGGACACGCACACGGCACGCTCACTCCTGCCGTGGTCACCCCCAGTAATCCCTCTCCTGCGCTCCTCAGCTCATACAGAGGAGGGTCTGAGCGTGACACATCCTGTCTACACCCCAGATGTCTTCAAGAACACAGCTCCAGGATCATGCACTCCATTTTTGCTGCAGATTCAAGTCTGGCTTCAACTTAGGTCTGAAGAACACCCATGACCTGTCATCCTTCCTCTGACACAACCATCTGTGGCTCACCATCTCACTGCCTGACTCAGAAAAAGCCCACATCGAGGTTACTTCAGCTTTAGTCGCCTCTGAAAAATGTGCTTTTCAAGAATTAATAAACTAGTGGGAGTCCAACATCAGCACCAAGCCTCAGGGATTTCCCGTCTGCACAAGCGCAGTGAGCTGAGGGTGGCGTTTCTGGCCTGCCCCTGGCAGGGGTGTCCAGGGCCTGGGACTTGGGCACCCTGCAGTAAGTGAGGCAGTACTGAGTGACCCTGCACTCACAGCAGCGTTCTTACGTTGGAGCCAGGGCAATGGAGACATTTTGTATTTTGGTCACTGGCAAAGCCCTTGTACCTTTCAGATATGGTTGTTTTCTCACAGTGCATGTAGATTTTAGGCTAAGAATGCTACTAATTTAATATGCCAAAATTGGGGGCCTGGGGTTGTGGCTCAGAGGTAGAGCACTTGCCTAGCATGTGTGAGGAACTAGGTTTGATCCTCAGCACCACATAAAAAAATAAATGTTATAAAAAATAATGTTAAAAAATTTGGCCGATTTTCACACTGCCATTGAATTTTTCTTTTTCTTTCTTTTTTTTTAATTGTTGCTAGATCTTTATTTTTATTTATAAAATAAATTTTAAAAAAGCCACTGTAAATATTTGTGTGTAGGTTTTTGTGGGGATGTAAGTTTTCAATTCATGTGTGCAAATGCCAAGGATCATGAATACTAGATCGTATAATAAGAGTATATTTAGTTTTGAATGAAACTTCCAAAGTTTCATTTTTACAGTGGTGCTGAGAATCGAACCCAGTGCCTCACACATGCCAGGCAAGTACGCTACCACTGAGCCACAGCCCCAATCCCACCTTTGAATTTTTCCAACTTCAAGCTCAGGCCATCCTTTTGTACTTTACCAAGGGGTAAGAATGTGCAATATAAAGATGTACTTTTCAAAAATGTTATCAGGGTTTGTATGTACTCCATTTAAATGTCAGGGGCAATGATCTTAAACCTT